GGTTCTAGAGGGGAGGGGGGTGGGAGGATGGGTTAGCCTGGTGGTGGGTATTGAGGAGGGCACATTCTGCATGGAGCACTGGGTGTTATGCACAAAGAATGAATCATGGAACACTTCATCTAAAACTAATGATGTAATGTATGGGGATTAACATAAGAATAAAAAAAAAAAGAAACCTCATAGATCTATAAGGTAGACAGATAAATAGTGAAATAAATATAACATAATGAAAAAAAATGGTGTGAGTTAGAGGGAGATGTGCTGGAGCAATCTCTTGTGTAGGGGAAAGAACAGGATCTGGTGTACATGTGGATAAGCAATGGGAGCTCATCTGCAACACTGTGAGGGAGTAGTTGCAATAGGTGGGCAAAGATGTTGGACACTGTCTAATTTCCTCAAGATTCTAGGAACAGTGAGGAACAAGATCACTGGTGGAAAATAAAGAAGGTGTTGCTGTCAGAAGTTGGGACCAAGAACAAAATAGGAACCCCATCTAGGGAAGTGAAAGAATAAACAGACTAGAGTTTGCATTTTAATGGAGGTGATATTATTCCTATGGGAGTGAAAATTCTTTTTTGGGGGGAGAGGTGATAAATCATTGATATTGCTATGTGTAGCCCTCCAAAAGGCCATAATATATGAAAAGATATACAAGCATATCTGTAGTATCAATATTTATAAGGGAGGCAATTAAAAATACCTAAAAAGACTCCTTCGGAGAGGTGATAATGAATAAAAGATTGAGAAACACTGGACCAGCACATACTATGATACTATAACCTTAAAACTCTCTTGAAATTCATGGACAACAACTTCAAAAGACAGCAGTTATGGAAATAATGTGTTTATTTATTATTATTCCCCCCTCCCCCCATAATGCTGCTTGGTTGTGGTGTGGAGTCAGTGGAGTTCTGGATTTCACTATGGTTGGGTGTGTGCAAGAAAAGAGGAAAGGGAACTGAGGGAGTGTGCAAAACAGTGACTGTAAAGATTTCTCCAGGGTTTTCCACTGGGGAAATAAGATAAAAAGCATTCTGGGCTGCTAAAGACAGACATGGGAGGGTGCTGACCACCTTGGGCCCATGAGAAGTTTAGAAATGAAGAGTGAAAATCCATACATCTCACTCTCATCTTCAAAGAGCTTTTGATTAGCTAGAAGCAAATGAGTTTAATTATTTTAATATAGATTAATTTCTTTAGAATATATTTTTTGCTTATTTTCTAAAGGAGAGGGAACATCTCTTTTTATCTAATTACATACTTTATACTATGCATATAATGGCCACTTAATAAAATCAAATTGGTGGTTACTAATTGTGTTCAATATGTTGGAAAATAAATATAAAGCTCAAAATAAGGTTTAGAGTAAAGGAAAGGAAGAAGCTAGAAATTAAAACTCAAAGGACATTTCACAGCAGCTTCTTTTATGTGTAGATTCTCAATAATATTTTATTCTTATTATGTATGTGGAAAGCTGTAGAACTCTCATCATTAGTAAAATCAGTTTATGTAAATATGGTCAATAGTGGGAATCCTAGTTAAGTTTGAAGACATGTTGCAAACAATATTGATTAAAAAATATGAGACAATTCTCACGATCCTTTTTCCATCCCAATAAAACATTAAAAAATATTTTCACTGGGGCACCTGGGTGGCTCAGTTGGTTAAACTACTGCCTTTGGCTCAGGTCATGATCCTGGAGTCCTGGGATCGAGTCCCGCATCAGGCTCCCTGCTCAGCAGGGAGTCTGCTTCTCCCTCTGACCCTCCCCCGTCTCATGCTCTCTCTCTCTCATTCTCTTTCTCAAATACATAAATAAAATCTTAAAAAATATATTTTCACTATTGAATCAGTTGTTTTGTCTCAATTATCACTGAGGTATATAATTGCCTTAATATAATTAGTTAAAATATACACATGATGTAATTCTACATTAAAGGCATGATTATGCCTCAGGCATCAGAGGAAAAAAGTCAGATTTTTTTTTTGATAGTTATGTTTCCTTAAATTAATTCCTACCTGCAGATGTTGTTACAATTTCTGTCGTGTTTCTGAGGCCCATAAAGTCAAACTGATAAAGCCTCCAGGATTTCTGATCAGCTGCCTCAACTGAATTTTTTCTCCATCTGTAAATCATCTCTTCTTTGGGGTAGCCATCTGAAAATACAGAATAAATATTAACACTTGAAGACATAGGTTTATAAAATATAAAAGTCAAAATTATCATTCTGATCATTTAACAGAAGTTAAAATTTTAGGCCATATTTGTTTTTGTTCTCAAAAATTTCCTCAAGGACCCTAAAACTCAAAAATTAATGGGTAAAGGCCACTCAACCCAGAGTTCTTGCTGCAGATCTTCATCAGCAAGATGTTCCCAGCCACAAGTCTCATCATTGTGTGGACACAGCATAAAAGGGGGCTACTGTCTTTATTTCTTTAACCTTGGAGAGCCACTTTTAGTCACCATAGCCTGTGGTCAACTTTCAAAGTGTGGAGATGCTGCTCAGAACTTGTTTCCAGACTCTGAGATCTAACTACCTAGCCTACTCCCATCACACCTTCACCCTTCCCTGGAACTTAATCCTTTCACATCTCAGGAAAGACAAATTTAATAAGGCAATCACTCCAAATAAGTCAATCAGAGAAAGACATGTATCATATGACCTCACTGATATGAGGAATTCTTAATCTCAGGAAACAAACTGAGGGTTGCTGCAGTGGTGGGGGGTGGGAGGCACAGGGTGGCTGGGTGATAGACATTGGGGAGGGTATGTGCTATGGTGAGCGCTGTGAATTGTGTAAGACTGTTGAATCACAGACCTGTACCTCTAAAACAAATAATAAATTATATGTTAAAAAAAAGAAGGAGATAGCAGGAAGAGAAGAATGAAGGGGGGGAATCGGAGGGGGAGACGAACCATGAGAGATGATGGACTCTGAAAAACAAACTGAGGGTTCTAGAGGGGAGGGGGGGGGGGGGATGGGTTAGCCTGGTGATGGGTATTAAAGAGGGCACGTACTGAATGGAGCACTGGGTGTTATACACAAACAATGAATCATGGAACGCTATATCAAAAACTAATGATGTAATGTATGGTGATTAACATAACAATAAAAATTAAAATTAAAAAAAAATAAGGCAATCACTCCAGGATTCCAGAGGTCAACTGACTCTCAGTCCTGCTCTGACATCAGTCTCCAGTTCTGATCAGTGAACTTTGACCATTATTAGACACCAGTGCTTATCTTATTCATTCATTACTCCAGGAAGCAAGATGCTGGTGTGTTTCTGCTGCCTTAAACCTAGTGTGGTAACCTGCCCAGAGCCAGGTGTCATGGACAGGTGTTATTACTAGGGCTGCTTGGGCTCCCTGACCCAAGCCAGAGATTGTCCCTGTGACTGCTTCTCAACTCCTGGATCTCCACTTCTGAATACCACTTGGGCAATGCTTGTTTTCTAGAGTACCTGTCTCCAGGCTCTATGGCAAGGTCTGCTCCCTGGGCCATGCCTCACCTAAGAGCAGGTCTAGAGCCCATGTTGTCACTCAACACATGACTGCATTGGTATTATTAGCCCTTCACTGATTAATATAGACACTGATGGCAAGACTGTGGTAGGAGGAAATATATGCACTACCATCCTGAATATGAAAAACACCTTACTGATACACACATACAAGCATATTAATAAAGTGGTTGGAAATTTCTAATTAGACATTGCAAAGATCAGTTTGTAAAACTCTTAAAGATAATATGCCTTCCTGGTATTTTCCCTTTCTTCCCATCAGTGCTAGCTTGGCTCCCTCATTCAAAGACACAGGTATGTCCCCTGCTTTCTGATTGTGTATTGTTCTGTGAAATTATTGTCACCATTGCTGGGATACTTGCTCTCTTTTAACTTGACAGTGTTCATATCAAGGCACTAAGACTCAGCCCCAGACATTTCTATGAAGTAACCAGACATTTTACTTGGTCACTGTCCTGCTTGCTTTATCTTCCTATTAGACTATCATAATCAGAAAAAGTACTTTATGCTGTAATTCTTTCTTTTAATTTGTTTTATTAAACAGCTTTATTGAGGTGCAATTCACATACATAACACATGCACAGTTCAGTGGTTTTTAGTATATTCTCGGAGTGGTGCAACTATTATCACAATGTAATTTTAGAATTAGATTTTAGAATATTTTCATCACCCCGAAATGAAACCGCAGACCCAGTAGCAGTCACTCCCCATTCCCCTTCCTTGCACACATTGCACACATCACCTGTCTCATCCAGTTCTTGGCATCCTTAATATATTTTCTGTCTATAGATTTCCCTGTTCTGGACATTTCATATAAATGGGATCACACAACATGTTATCTTTTGAACTGATGCCCTTCACTTAGTGTAATGTATTCAACATTCACTCATATTGTAGCCCTTGTTAGCATTTCATCCTTATTTATTACCCAATAATAAAATTGGAATAATAATTCACTACATGAATATACCATATTTTGCTTATGCATTTGTCAGTTGATAGGCAGTTTGAGTCCACTTCTATGTTTTCTATGAATAATGCTGTTATGAACTTTAGCGTTTTCTTTTTTAAATAAACAAGGACTTTGCATATCTTTATGATGAGAGGTAGTTTTTTAACTTGGAGCAAGGCCCCCACTGAATTAGGCTATTACCTTCCCACAGAAACTAGGAGATTGGGATATTATCTTTCTTGATTATATTTTAAAGAAATGGTTCCCAGACCTTAAGAAAGCCTTTAAAAAGATTTACATCTTGTTCAAAACAGAGTTCCCTTCCCTTAACCCAGACTTGTTTCTCCTCCATTTTTCTACCTAAGCAAATAGCAGTACCCACCTAATTGCTTAAGAGTTAAGAACACTTGTGTATGAGATTTTGTGCTGACACAGTTTTCAATTTGCTTGGGTATGTAAATAGGAGTGAAATTGTTGAGGAATAAGGTAACTCTATATTTAACATTTTTGAGAAACTGCTGGACTGTTTTTCAAGGCTATACCTTAAAATCCTACCAGCAATGTATAAGGGTTCCAATCTCTCCATATTCTTTCCAACATTTGCTAATATCTGTCTTTCTAATTGTAATAGTCATAGTGGGTGTCAAGTGGTACCTTGCTTTTTAATTTGTGTTTCCCTAATGATTGATGATATAGAGCATCTTTTCATGGGTTTATTGGCCAATATATGTCTTCTTTGGTGGGATATCCAGATTTTTTGCTCAATTTTTAATTGTGTTATTTGTTTTCATATTCTTGGGTCTTAAGAGTTATCTGTATATTTTGGGTGTTTTATCAGGCATATGTTTTACAAATATTTTCTGCCATTCTATGGCTTATCTTTTGATTTTCCTGCATTTTGAAGAGTTTTGCTAGTTATAGAATTATTGGTTGACAGTCTTTTTCCTTCAACATTTTGAAGCTGTTATGTCTTCTAACCTCCATGGTTTCTGATGAGAAATCATCAAGTTGACTCTGCTGTGGATAGGTGTGGATCTCTGAGTTCATTGGAGTTTGTTGAACTTCTTCTGGTTGTTATTTTTTCCAATAATTTTGGCCTTATTTCTCTGCTCTTCTCCTCTGGGACTTCCATTAAATGTGTATTGGTAGGGGGGCGGAGCAAGATGGCGGAGGAGTAGGAGACCTGGATTTCGTCTCCTCTCAGGAATTCAGCTGGATAGGGATCAAACCATTCT